GGTCTCCCCGCCCTGCAGGGGTCCCCTCCCCCTGCATGTGGGCTGGTGGTGGACAGGGCAGGGGTGAGGCGGCACTTCCAGCGTGGGTTACAGAAGGCTCGGCTGCCCTCCCTGGCGCCCGTCGCTCCCTTGCTGTGTTGTGAGTGGTCCTCTGTAGGGTTTGCATAGGACGCACCTGGGGGCCACAACCAGTGAGAAGCGGAGGGACTTTGGAAAGCCTTCACGGGAGTCCACAGCCCCACCTGTGATATTTGTATTTTTAATTTTTTTAATTTTTATTGATTTTTAGAGAGAGAGGAAGGGAGAGGAGGAAAGAAACATTGATGTGAGAGCAGAACATTGATCAGCTGCCTCCTGCATGCCCTGTACCGGGGATTGAGCCTGGAGCCCCGAATCCCGACCGGGACTTGAACCAGCAACCTTTCGGTGCTCGGGACGATGCCCAATCCACCGAGCCACACCAGTCAGGGCCCACTCAGGGCTTGACTGCAGCCTTCAGAGGCCTTGAGCCAGAGGCAACCAGTTAAACTGTGAGATCATCAGTGTCAGTTGTTTCAAGACTCTTGGTTTAGGGTCATTTGTTGCAATAGCAACAGGTGACGACTGCAGCAGGCCTTTGGGCTTTCACTGCGTCGGTGAGCTGACGTCATATCCCAAACCGGGCCCAGATTTCCCACAGGCGAGCTCTGCTCCCTCTGGGCTCCAGAATCTAGGAAGCCTGTGTTAAAGTGTCATGGAGAGGCAGCACCTGGGCATACAAACAGCTTATCGTTTGTGTTTTTCTCAAAAGAAATGTTACTGGCAGAGTCTGGGAAGAGGTCTCGGGTCGCTAAGCCACCAGCTTCCCCTTCACGGTAGCACATGAGATCAGGAGTTTCCACCGAGTGCTGGTCCAACTCTTAGGTCTATACACCCTGATTTACTTTTCCATCGAAGGAACACTCTGCATCCGCAAGTTGGTAGTGGCTGGGAGGGACTGGACTTATTTTCTGAGGTCATAAGGGGTCTCCACATTTCAGGTTCACAAAGGGAAAGCATTCTAATGAGAACTATGACACAATGCCTGGGCTCGTCACCGAGTGGAGAGTTTCTTGGCTCAAACAGGATGACCACTGATGGGGAAATAGTATCAGGCTGAGTTTATTAATTCACACTTATTTGTTGAACGCCTATATACTTCAGTTAGGAATTCTGTGTCATAGAAAAATGGACTAACAGTGGCTTAAACAAATAAAGGATTTTTTTTTTCTACCTAACCAAGAATCTGGAGGGAGTGGACTGGGGGGGTCTTGATTCAGAGGCTCAAGGGTGCAAGAGTCAGAATCTCTCTGATTTCGACTTTGCTCGTGGTTGCGAGATGGCTGCTACAGCTCCGGACATCACGTGTGTGTTCAAGGCAGTAATCCCTGCTGCTGAGAAAAAGCAGTATCAGCTGTCCATGTCCTTTCCCAGAGAGCAAAATCGTCCCTAGAAACCAGTGGTGTGCTGATCAGTCTTCAATTACTGGCATTCTGGGGGAACGCAGGAAGGAGGACAGTCCTGATTTGTAGCAGTCGCCAATTTCTGTGGTATAGATTCTCCTACCATATCTGATTTCAAGCGACCAACATGATGTTGGCTGCATGGATGGGAAGAATGTCAGTAGCACACCATCATATAGCATTTCTATCATGCAGTTATAGTAGATGCAACATTCTTCAAAGCACAGATAATTGTAAACTAGTAAAACAATTAGGAAGTAATTTTGAGTATTATCTTTGTTTATAATTTTTCACTGTAAGTTTATGTAACTTAATTGTTAAATAAAGACTGACTGTGTTTAACAACTGACTTGCAAAGTTCCTGAACAATAAACACTCAGTTCTTGTGGTCTGGTCCAAATTGGCTCACGGCCAGAAACCTTTCTGCCAACTTCCACTACAGTCTCACCGGCCGGGGCACTGCGACCCGGCCACCTCGGGCTGTAAGGGAAGCTGGGAAGAGAGAAGCTAGCTCTTTGGGTCTCTGTAGTGGAACACGCCAGGGAAAGCCGGACAGAAAGGAGAGAGGGGCAGCCAACCAGCTGACCGGTTGGTCTGCCAGTGGCCTGAGAACAAACATTGCTGGGCATTGGGAGGACAGCGATGAGCAGGACACATCGTTTCTGTTCTCATGGGGCCTTCACGCTCAGGGCAAGAGAGAGATTTTCAACAAATAAGTATGATGGTGACCACTGGCAGAAAAAGTTCAGGGTGCTATCTCTGAGTGTGTGTAATGGGGAGGGAACCTAGGTTGTTGCATTCATTTTTTTATTGTTTCATGACAGACGACCACAAACGTAGCAGCTGAGAACAATGTCCTCATTTCTAAACTCAGGTTCTAGGAGGCGAACGTGGCACTTCTGGCTGCGGCCTCTGCTCAGGGCACCAGGCTTCGCTTACCATTTCAGTAGCTCGCGTCCTCCCTGCAGCCTTGCCTGGGGTCAAGTCTACTTCCAGGCTCACTCAGCTTGATGCCAGAATTCACTTCCACGGGCCTGTGTGGCCGGGGCCCGGCTTTGTGCTGGCTGTGGACTGGAGGCTGAGGTCAGGTCCCACAGATCATCCACTAGGTGTGCTCCTCACAGCATGGCAGGTGACTTCTTCAAAGCTGTGAGAACTTCTCTGTCTAGTTTGTGGAGAGAAATTGTTATGTAATGTAACCTGACCACGAGTGACATCCCATCTCCTCTGCTACATCGTATTGCTAGAGGCTCACAGGTGCTGCGGGGGGATCATACCAGGGTGTGACTCACTGAGGGGGGTCACCTTAGGGTGTGTCTGCCACAATTATACTCAGTGCAGGGTGGCTACAGAACCTTCCTGGGGAAAGCCACATTTAGGGTGAGACTTGAAGGGTCAGTGGGAGTTGGCCAGATACAGAGAGAAAAGCATGTCAGGCAGAGGGCAGCACATGCCAAGGTCTGAAGCCTGGAGTGACGTCCTTAGAGTGAGGACTTCACTCCCTCAGATTCCTTTTCCTGACCTCTGCCTACACCCCCAGACCGCACTGGGACCCTGGCTGGAGAGGGCTGAGGGAGCTTCTTATGTTCGTGCAGGAGTTTGACAACTCAGATTGGAAGCCAGGCTTTCAGTGGTGTGTGTGAGTGCATGTGTGTGAGCTGAGTGTGTGTGTGTGTGCTGTGTGTGTATGTGTGTGAGCTGAATGTGTGTGCTGAGTGTGTGTGTGAGTGCATGCGCATGTGCTGAGTGTGTGTGAGTGCATGCGCGTGAGTGCATGTGTGTGTGAGTGTATGTGTGTGAGTGCGTGTGTGTGTGAGAATGACTGTGAGTACATGTGTGTGTTGTGAGTGCATGTGTGTGAGTGAGTGAGTGTGTGTGAATGTGTGTGAATGTGTGTGTGTGCATGTGTGAGTGCACGAGTGAGTGCATGTGTGTGAGTGCATGTGTATGAGTGCATGTGTGTGTGAGTGTGTGTGAGTGAATGTGTGTGCATGTGTTTGTGTGTGCGTGAATGTGCGTGCATGTATGTGTGAGTGCATGTGCATGTGTGTGTGAGTTCATGTGTGAGTGTGTGTGTCTGCAGGGAGATGGGGATGGGATTTGCTCCAGTCACTGTCGAGACCTTATCCATCCATCCATCCATCCTATCAGCATCCCGAGTGCCTGCAGCGTCCTGGGCCTGTTCTGGGCCGACTGGATCAGAGGCGGACCCCTGCCTTGTCCTAGAGGCCAGCCTTCAGATGGAAAGCTGCTGCGACTGAGGTTGCAGCAAGCAGGTGGAACTGCAGAGGCTGCAGGGGACGAGGGAAAGAGAGCACCCGAGGAGGATTTCAGGTTTGAACCTGAGCCACTGTGTGGATGGAGAGGCCGAGGAGAGGACGGAGCCGGGAAGAATGTGGAGCAGCAGGTTGGGGGCGTTGAATAAAGCGCTTTGTTTTGGCCCTGGCAGGTTTCAGATGCCTCCTGGGTGTCTAGCGGGGAATCCAGGAGAGGTCAGGACCGAGGATAAGGATCCGGCAGTGACCACAGTGTGTTTAAAGCCTGGGAGGGCGTGAGATTTCCCACGGGAGCCCCATGGTGAATAGGAGGGTGGCCGGCTCAAACCGTGAGTCAGTCACCCCAACACCCCAACATGCAGAGGTTGGTCAGAGAAGGGGAATCCTGGATACTTCGGAGGAGCTGCTGGCGAAGTAGGGAAGACCCTGTGCAGGGCCACACGAAGCCTACAGAGCACATACTGTGATGAGGACAGAGGTTAGAGGTGATGGATGGTGCTCGGATACATGGGGTGACGGGAGGAAAGGAGGTTTGACACAGGAAAGGGTGGCAGCTGGGCTCCTGGCCCCTTTGTCAAGCGCTGAAGTGACCCTGAGAAGTCTCTGGTCCTGCTTGAAGGAGCCCCTTTAGGGAGGGAGCGCTTGCCTCCATTCCTAACGCTCCTCCCAGGAGCGCCAAAATGCTTGTCGAATGAATAAATGATGAACCAGTGATTGGGGCTCAGTGACTTGGGGCGGCAGGCGACCTCGCTCCTTGAGCCTCAGTTTCCCTTTATGTACAGCAGGCCAAGCCTACACACTTGAGTTCTGGGTTCGGGATGAGCACGGCCGGCTGAGCGGACTGCAAGTGGACCTTAGGCTCGGCCTCCGGGGATTGGGCCGCAGACGGGGCAGCTCCTCAGTCCGGCCTCCGCTCGGGCAGAACCGCCCCCGCAGCCCCGCCCCACCTCCCTTTGTTTCCCTCGGCCACGCCCCCTCCGCGCATCTCTCCCCCCATTGGTCGGGGGGCGGGCCCTGAATGCCGGGTGCCGCCGGGGGCGGGGCGGAGGGGCTCGGGCGGGGCGAGTGCGCCTGCGCGGTGCTCGAGTCCGGCTGTGGTAGCCTCGCGCCGGCGGCTGCTCCGCGGAGCCCGAGCCTGAGCCTTAGACGGAGACGGGCTGAGGCTGCGACGGAGGCGGCCCCGCCCCGGGGCTCCATTGTTGCGGCGGCCGCGGCTCTGCCGGCTGCTCGGTTCCGACCCACTCGGCCAGGGCGCCAGCGGCAGGGGGCGAGCGCTGCCGAGGCGGCGGCCTGAGGTGAGGCGTCGGGCGGCGGGCGGCGGGGCGGCGGGCGGCGGGCGGCGGGGCCGGCGGGCCGGGTCCCTGGGAGGGCAGGGGTCACGGAGCCGGGCGGGTGCTCGGCCGAGTGGGAGGGTCAGGGGCCGAGCGGGGGTCCGGGGCCGGAAGGGGGTCCCAGCCGGGCAGAGGTCCCGGTCCGGGAGGGCGGGGACGTCGGGCGGACGGGGGTCCCGGGAGGGCAGCGGTCACGGAGCCGGCGGGGTCCCGGGCGGGCGGGGTCCCGGGCGGACGCGGGTCTGCGGGCCCGCGGGGCAGGTCTGCGCGGGGCGCCGCGGGGTCGCGCTCGAGGTGGCGCCGCCGCCCTGGGCGACCGCGGGGCGGGCGCGGGGAGCGCACCGAGCGGCCGGGTATTGTTTGGCCTCGGGTGGCACCGAGGGGCTCCGCGCCTGCCGCGACCCTGCGCGGACCCGCGCGCGCAGGTGCCTGGCACCCGAGAAGTTGGGTGCGCTGACTCGGACCCCGCTCCCCCCCGGTGTGGCCGCCCCCTGTTGTCTGTGTCCCCGAAGGACGCTCGGCGTGGGCCCTCGCGCGTGGGGCGCTGGTCATCCTGCGACTAGGAGACTGGGCCCCCCCCTGGTATGTCGGGCTCACCGGGTCTCATTGAGAGTGTCTGCGGGACCCTCGATAGTGGGGGTCCCGGCCTCCCTCCGAGGGGGGCCTTGTCCCCCAGACTGGGTCACGGAGTGTGTGCGTGTCGCCGAGGGTGGCTTTGCGTGGACCTGCTCGTGTGGCGCCCTAGCCCTCCTGCGAGTTGAGGGGGGCTGCCCCGGCCCCTCCCCGCCCCCTCCCCGCGCAGCTTGTCCAGTGTGAACCCCGGCCTGTCCCCCGACGTGGATGTGTGTGGGGCGCGTGCGCGCGGCTTGGGGCTCTGTGTCGAGGGGTCCTTGTGCGGGTCCCGGTGCCTGTCGGGGTGTCGCGGGCTGTGCGCAGGGCGCCATTGGCCTGGGTAGGACTGCCGCCTGCTCTTTTATTTATCGTCTTATTTGCCAAATGAGCAGAAGCGGGGAGCGGCCGGGTTGGCCACAGTTCCGGGGACCCGCCTCGCTCCCTGGCGGGCCCCTGGGGAGTGCGGGGCTGTCACCGCACCCGCGAGGGCTCTTCGGGCCGCCGCGTTTCCTGCCCTGGCCGAGCCTGGGCGGGCGGGAGCCGGCTCTGATTGGAGGGAGCCCAGCCCCTCTGCCCCGCGCTTCTTGATTTCTTCCGTTAGGACTGGGAAGGAAAAAAATCTGGAAAAGCAGATTTAACTTTGCAGCTCTCGGCCGGCCGGGAGAGTGCAGGAAACTCTCCCAGAATTTGGCGGGCTGGAAATGCGCTTGAAGGAGGAGACTGCACACCCGCGGAGCCAGGCCAAGCAGTTAGAAGCAGAGGTCCGGTTTCCGAAGGGATAGCCAGGGTGAGGTTGTGGACAGGGAGTGGGATCTCAGCCTGCTGTCAAGGCCTGGCCTACCCTGCAGGCTCTGTATCTCCCGGCCACTTAAACAAGAAAGTGGAATCGTTCCTTTACCCTTTCATCAGACGGAGAGAAACCCATCATGGCCCCGAGAGGATTCTCTCCCCCGGGGGATGCAGAGTCCAAGACAGGCGTTTCCTTTTAGGAGCCTTGTGGTCTGAGATGGAAGCCTGGGCCAAGTAGCTGCGATATCCAGACTGAAATTCTTTGTGAACGAGATGATGTATGAATAACGGGAATGCAGGATGAAAATGTTAGACTCAGCTGTAGCTGCGAAGTCCAGACTTAGCATAGCATGCAGGCCCTTCTCGATGGTCATCTGTGCCCTTAACTCTCCCCGTCCCTCCAGCCCCAGCTGCAGCCACTCCAGCTCTGCTTACTCATTCTTAGGGTCTCTTCAAGACCTCTGAGAGCTGTGGTCTTGAAGGACCGGCGCTTAGCCCTGGTACCGCTTGATAGGCGCTCTGACAGGTGGGCACAATTTGTGCCCAGAACCTAGAGGAAGGAGGCCAATCTAAATGAGGTCTTTTTCTATGCAGTGCAGTTAAGTAGTTTGTGTGATTTAGAATCTGCAGTTCCTCAGCTCTCTGAAGGGTTCTTAGGTTAATGTTTGCTATGACTTCCTAGTGTCTGTGGCTCAGTGTAGAGTACTTGATTAGAATCTGTTGGGTCTGATTCTGGCTCTGGAATCAAGTCACTCCTTCTGCCTCGCCATCGCTCTTGGCTTTGTTTCCTCACGGTTGCGGGTCTTGAACTAGGGAAGAACCTCTCAGTCTCAGACCTTTAATTCTTCCAGCCAAACAGCAGAGGGAAGTTCTCTTAGTGGCCGTGCTCCAAATAAGGGAGATCTTTGAAAATGTAGTGTTTTAAAAAAGTGTTTTTTTCGAAGGGTGTATACTTGGTCTCAGAGTGAAGGGCCAGAGTCTTTGGTGGAAGCTTAAGCAGTTTGTTTTTATATTGTCCTTCATAGTCTTCATAATTATGTTTTACTTGCGACATCTGTACTATATCCAACTGGTTTGATGGTTTCCTTAATGAAGTAGTTGGTGCAGAACCCTTGCCAGGGGCCTTTCATCGATCTTTTGCGTGTTGTATGAAGTCTTCCAACTGTAGCTTCTGTATGTCCCAGTCTCTAACAGAGATTTTAATTTGGGGAGTCTGAAATAATGGAATTTTGGGAGTGCCTTGAGTAGGTGTACATAGTTTTGTGTAATGGTTTAAAACATAGTTTTAAATGGTTACTTGCAAAAAAAAAAAAAATGGGTTGTATGTTAAATGACTTAGAAAGCTCCAATTCTAAGGAATATAGTAGTTAATCCTTTAAAATATTCATCTCCCTTCCAATTTATCTGTTTGGTAAGATGAGAATTTGGTGGGCTTGATCTTCTTAAAGCCACACCCGTCTCTGCTGTTCTTATTTGGGTGATTAGAGGGATTAAAAATAGATGATAGCTGTTTGGTCAGGTAGTGATTCCACTGAATTACAATTTCACTTAAATCAGTGGGATTTTTGTCGTCTCTTAATTTAAGAAAAGTGCTTTGTTTATGTGCCATGTGGTTTGTTTCGTCAGGGACCTTATTTTAGGAGGGGTCTTTAGAAACAACTGCATTTCTTTGTGGTTTTCTTAGATTGTGTTACGATCATGTTCTCACTGAGGCTTAGCTAGTTCGTGCTTGTTCTGCACCGAGTGCGTCTGGCTGGGGGCAGGCCTGGTTCTGTATGAATTGACTGACTAGGGTCTTTCATGGGAGGGAGGGGATGCCTGGGACGGAGAAGGTTGAGTTTGAACTTCACTTTCAAAGTTGTCCTCTTGTTCTCTGCTGAAGGAAGACAGTGAACCTAACTCCTCCCTGGGGCCCAGACAGCTTAATTCACCCGCTTCAAAGAACTGATGGTACTTTTTTTTTTTTTTTAAAGATTATGATAGTCTGTAAATCCCCCTTTCCCTTTAAGTATCTTTTCTTTTTAGAATTATATTTTTGTTGATTTTTTCTTATTTATTTAATTTTTTTATTGTTGTAAGTATTACAGATGTGTCCCCTTTTTTCTTTTTTTTTTCTTTTATCCTCACCTGAGGACATTTTTCTATTTTTTGTTCAGGTAGAGTGGGAGGGGGAGAGAGAAAGAGAGAGAGAAACATCGATGTGAAAGGGACACATCGAGTGGCTGCCACCCGCACGACCAACCAGGGCCGGGGACAAACTGCAACGGAGGTACGTGCCCTTAGCGGGAACCGAACCCGGGTCTCTCGGGACCGCAGGCCGACGCTCTAACCGCTGAGCCAAACCGGCCAGGGCTGTCCCCTTTTTTCTCCCACTGACCCCTCCTTCCCGCTCACACCCCCCTCCCTTTGTCTTATTTGCCTGGAAAATAGAAGTTCAAAGATACATTTTTCTTAGACTATAGGTTGAAGTTTTTGTTGACCACTCCCCTCACCTGTCCCATATCACCTACCAAATGGTTTTCTCTTCTTTCTTTTCCGTTGTTAAGTCCTTATCATGTGTGTGTCTGTTATTCAGGCTACCCCAGAATCTCTTTTGGATGTTGGCAGGATGTAAACATACATCACATAGTAAAGATAACCAGTTCTTTTGGCAGGTGGCCTGGGTGAGGAAGTCGGTCCTTGAAGGCTCTGTCCAGCCAAGTACTCTCTGAACCTCAGTTCCCTGCTTGGAGATTTGAGGTCAGTGACCCCTGCCCTGTCAGGCTCAGGAGATTGTGCTGAGGGTACAATGAAATCGTGAATGCAGTGGAATTTCATACGTTGTAACATATGATGTTGCCAAGGATTTTTAGAAAATATTTCATTAAGAATTTAGTGATGGACATAGGCAATAATACTGTGAAGTAGGGGTGGGAGAGGGGAGGAGGTTGTCAATGAGGGGAAAAGGAGAAACATCTGTAACAAAAATAAATTTATTAAAAAAGAAAAAAGAAAAACAACTCATGGACATAGATAACATTATAGTGACTACCAGAGGGAAAGGGGGTGGGGGGAGGTAGAAGAGGGGGGATAAATGGTGACGGAAGGAGACTTGACTTGGGTTGGTGAATACACAGTGCAATATGCAGATGATGTATTGTAGAATTGTACACCTGAAACCTGTATAATTTTATTAACCAATGTCACCCCAATGAATGCAATAAAAAGGAAGAAAGAGTTAAAAAAATTTAACGAATCTGGGTTTTTCTTTAAAATTGCAAATGTTTAATATGTGGATGGTCTTTTAACTTGAGGTGTGTTAGACAGCTTCATTTAGGGTTGTTCTCTCTGTGTTTGATGTTTGGTATTTGGGGGACCCCTTCTGTAAGCAGGGCTGTTGAGTGTGTGCAGTTTAGTATTTGGGGGGACCCCTTCTGTAAGCAGGGCTGTCGAGTGTGTGCAGGTTAGTATCTGGGAGGACCCCTTCTGTAAGCAGGGCTGTCAAGTGTGTGCAGTTTGGCATTTGGGGGGACCCCTTATGTAAGCAGGGCTGTCGAGTGTGTGCAGATTAGTATTTGAGGGAC